ACATTGCCTCACTATATACTTCTCCTCTCTCTCTCTTTAGCCAACTTCAGGGTTCAAATTTTTTATTTTTTATAAATATATAGAAAGGATTTTGATTTTTTTTTCCTAAAAATTTTGACTTGAGTTACAGCACTTTGCGTCACGACCCGACCGCGATCCCGGACGGATCCCGCTCGCACGGTCGCGGCTACGGAAAAGATCTCAGGATCTGGCTTTGGAATTTGCTTAGTGAACTAAATCTTACAAATTATTTCAACTCAAAAACCAACACAGCAAGACAGACAGAGCTACTATGAATCACAAATGCGAGGAATAAATCATCTATATTTTTTCTTTTCTCTCAAACATTTCATCTACAACAATCATCTACAAATACAGTACATGGGCTTTTAGACAGAAAGAAAGACAGAACAGAAAAGCCATGACTGTACAAAAATCAAAGGTACAAAACAATACACTTATACTAATAGACTATGATCTATCCTGGACTTCTTCCTTTCAGAAACCTGAAAACCTACCAAAAAAGAGTGAGCTCAACAGCTCAGCAAAGCAACAAACCTCCAATCAAATTCTCAGAATCCAAACCATCAGACAATTCGTACAGAAATCAGAACAATAATCGGACATAATCAAATCGGACAGATCAGAACAGAAACGATCAAATCAGAACTCGGACAGATCAAATCACATGACAGTACAACAGAAGTCATAATCAAATCAGAAACAGAACAGATGAACATTCAGAATCAACAGAATCAGAATCATACCGAATTAGAAATTCAGATCATATGTCAGAATTGTACAGAAATCATATCATACAGATCATAATCAGATTCATATCGTACAGAATTAGAATCAGATTTGCTTACAGAATAGATAGAGAATCAGAATCATAATTATAAATCAGATATCAGATATATTTATTCATAGCTAAATCCCTGACACTGACGGAATCCTACGGATTCGGCCCTTAATGCCTCCCTTCCAGACACTACTGAATCTCATAGATTTCCAGGCCCCTTATGCCTCCCTTTGTGCTCACGGGCACCAGAACAGATGTGCTTATAGATCAAAATACATATATAGTGCTTTTAGCACCTAAACAGATTTCCTCGGATCCGGAACAACAACAGAATTCAGATTGAGCTCATTTCAGATTTCCCAGACACTAACTGAATCTCATAGGCTCAGGCCCCTTATAACTCCCTTTTTATATGCATATACAGGTAGCATATCAATTCAGAAGAAATCCGGACAAATCAGAAATCAAACAAAAATGCGGGCAGCACAACCAGTATACGAAATTTACATAATTTTTCTGAAAATCACAATTTACCAAAATTTGCACAGAACATAGATAATAACATTTCAGAACATTTTCTATTGTCAGATAATTTCAGTAACAAGAAAGAATCCAGTCGACTAAAAACTCCGTCGAATCAAAAATACCCGGACAAAATCTTCAAAATATAGTCAAACGTGCCACCCGCACGGCACAATATACAAAAAGTTACGCGGTAAACTGAACCAATCAAAAGATACGGATGAAAATCGCTAACGGAAACAAAATCCGGATAGAAAATACAGCCAAACAACGACGCTTCTGAAAATTGAGAAAGGCGGATGTGCCTTACCGTTGCGTACACAATTTTCTGAACAGTCTCTTCGACGAAAACAGCTTCCGCGTCGCCCGAAAATCCACTTTTCCAAAAGATTCCTCGACTTTCTCTCTCCTCAAAAGATATTTTCGTTTTTTTATAAATTTTCTCTCTCTTCAAAACGACTGATTTCAGATTTATAATACTCAGATCGGCCCGGCCGATCACCAGATCGTCCCAGGACGATCAGACCAAATTTGATAGTCCTGGACGGTTCCTAGGACTATTCTCCGGCCGATATTTTGAACAGTGCCAATCGGCCTGGCCGATGTCCTCGATTGGCCTGGACGATGCCTACAAGAAAACACCTGGAATAAATCTGGGCAATTTCTGGAGCAAATTCTCAACTGATCGTCCCAGGACGATCCCAGATCGTCCCAGGACGATCCCAGATCGTCCTGGACGATCCTGGAGCAGATTTTGATATTACAACTTGACCCTACAACACTGCAACACTCCTTAGTACTGGATAGCATAACACTGTAACGTTAGTTCTTTTTTTTTTTAAATATTGTTGTAGAGATAAATGTCGCGGCCCTGTCAACCCGGTGCCATAACACTCCCATAAGTCAACATCTAGATTTAACATGCATGTACACAAACCCCAATGATGTACTCCATAATATATTCAAATACATTCACGCATTCATAATACTTATAAACAAATGCATAGGATATGAAATGCAAATGTTTCAGTTAATTTCTCTTACCAGATCAGGTCAGAATATGTGCAACTATGTGTCGCAATTATAACTATTACCTTGCACTTTAGATGTAATAATGAAAGAAAAAAAAACAAGCTCAACATTAATTAACTCATTGGACGCATAATTGAGGAGAAGCTTATTAGAGCATATTGTTATTTAAGGCCAAATATTATCATGTTAAATTTGAAGAGGGATTGCAGTATTAAGTTATATTATAGAACGGCTTGACCAAACAAAGAGATTAAATAGGCATAGTGATGAACTTGGTGTTTATTGCTGATAGACATAATATCATCGCCAATGCTTTATCTATCATATTTATCAAGGCATAATGAAGCTTGCACGCATCCTATAACAATGAAGATCATAAAAAAATTAAAAATTAATAGGTGTCACAAGGAATATCACTTGGATTTAAAAGCTTGTATAAGAGTTGTAATCTATAAAACTTTGATGGAATTCTTTTTAGGGGCACAAAAACAGATTCTTATCTGGGGAATGAAGTTATCTCTTAGCAACAGGCTCAAGCTTCATTTCCAAGAAATCAATATAACTTGATAACAACCAATATTTCAGAGTTTCCAATATGTCACCAAGATCGCATTCTCCTATCTAATAACAACCTTATTAGAATTTTTTAGGAATGTAAATATATAAATTGTTCTTTGATAGATGTACCATTACATTGAATATCAAAATTATTTTAACAAAAAAAAAAAAGCATTAGGAATTCTTTTGTCTATGACTAAAAACTTACTTTCCACCCCATTAGTCAATTTAAATTGTATGTCATAGATCGTGACCTCAATGGTGATATTAAATTACGGGAGTGGATATGTACAGGTAAAAAGTTTGATGTTTTGGTAAATTACAGATTCTTATCCAAGTGTTAGTTGCTATATATTATGCACAAGTGGTATGATTAGTTGCTTAGGTTGAAAATATGTATCCATTCAAAAATAAGGACACATGTAAGTTACATTCTATGCATTTATGAAAGAGAATTTAATTAGAATGGATATGATGTCCAATATAAAGTTTTCATTATTAAAAAATATTGGAAGTCTTGCTAAAAAATGATTCAGAGCAGGAAGAAAATTATTAAGCTATTAAAACTGTCATTAATATTACTCTTTGCAATAGCAGAATTTGAAAGAGCATTTTCTGTAATAGCCATCATAAAAAACCGACTGCGAAATCAAATTGAAGATTAATTGATGAATGATACTTTACTTGCTTATATTGAAAAAGAAATATTAGATTGCACTTATAATTAGGTGTGTCAATATTTGACACGACACGAAAACCCGACCCGGACCCGACCCAGAAAATGCGCTGCCGCCGTCGCCTGCTGCCGCGAGCTGCCGCGCGGTTCCGGGTCGTGTCGGGTCAACCCGGCAACCCGCCGGGTCGGGTCCGGGTTCGGATTTTTAACCCGTTTCTCTACCCGGGTCGGGTTAGGGTCGACCCGTTTTCCACCCGGGTCAGTTCGGGTTCGACCCGAACCAGACCCGTGACCCGAAATTGACACCCCTACTTATAATGATGTTGTTATTCAACATTTTCAGAATATGAAGAGCAAAGTCTACAAATTGTAAGTATTATTTATCTTATGTTTACTAGTTTATTTTTTAAAGAAAATTTTAAAATTATCAATGCCGGTCCCGAATAAAAAAAAAGTTGAATGAGATTTAAAAATAAATAATTGGGATGAAATAATCAAAGTTAACATGTCATCTCCTTAGTGAAATTGAAGAGTGGTTGTCCAGGGAGAAACATAGGTCTTCAAAAGAGGAGATTGATGTAGTGCGATGCAATTGTTGTGACAATAGACGCTATAGACAAGTTACTTGTAAGGCTTATTGCCCACCAGCACCTTAGTAAAAGTTTATATATATTACTCTTCTAGTTATTGTAAGCACATTTATTTCTTATATAGAATGGTCTAATTGATTTTTTATTAATTTTATTTACTTTCATCGTTTATAGTAAAAATATACTATAAATTTTTATGAAGTACTTCATAGTTAAAAAGTTGGAATATTTTAACTTGAAATGAACTTTGGAGCATTTTCTTCAAGAAAATAAAAAATTGGTATATTTCTCTAATTTTATCTTATTTGTGACATAAAATCTAAATTTACTAATATGTATCATTTATGTCATTATTCATTATTTCAACTTATTTTAAAAATTTTAGTAAAAAAGTTAAAAGCAAAAGTATCGTCTAATCCGTTTTCAACAAACCGCCATCTGTCAAATAAGTAAATAAATTACAAGAATTTAAGTTTTATTTGTAAAATTCTCTTGATAAATTTTGTTTTTAACTTTCTGAAAATTATTTTAGTAAATTTTAGCAACTTTTTTAGTAAATTTGTAGTTTATCCCAAAAGTTATGCATATTGGATGAATTTTATCTCACCTGCTTTAATAACTATTATTCATTGTTATAAAAATTAAAAAAAAATTAATTATTTTATTATATATTTAAAAATAAAATAGTCACGTATTTATTTATTTTTCTAATCTTATTCTATCAAAAAATTTTACGATCAATAATTGCCAGCAACTCCCTTGCAATATTCCTCGATAAAAAGACTTTTTACCCGTCCGCTTTAAATAGCCGTCCTCACCTTCCTTCTTGCACTCGCCCCAACCAAAGCAAAGAACAAGCAATCCTCTTCCTTTCTCTCGTTCCTAACCCTAGCAAAACACTGAAAAGACAGAGGCCAAATTGCAGAAAAAACCTATAAAATCCTAAAATGGAATCCAACACCTCTCCCACAATAACCAAGCGGTTATGCCACATTGTTCGACTGATATGCTACATGCTTCGCAATTGCATCTCGATGAGAAAGCTTATGATGGACCTCCAGCTCCTCCTGAAGCGAGGAAAGCTCGCTGGAAAATTCCTCAGCAACTTCATAACCCACAATCACGGCGGCGCCGCCTCCCCCGCTGCCACAGGCCGCTCCATCGAGTTCAGCTGTAGCAACACCCCTTTTTACACCGCCATCAAGAAGAAGAACCGCCGGCGCCGCCAAGTCGAGTACGACAACATCGAAGCAGCTATGATAAAAAAGGCGTTTGAGATGCTGAATGCGGAGGTATCGGATATGGAGTCGGTGAGATCATCGGCGATGCCGAGTCCATCGCCCTCTCCGGCGGCTATGTGGTGGTTAGGAAAGAGTCCGGCGGTGGTGCGGCAGTTGAGGGTGACGGATTCGCCCTTTATGTTGAACGAGAACGAGGTGGTGGAGGAAGGAAAGGTTGATAAGGAGGCCGATGATTTCATTCAGCGGTTTTATGAACATCTCCGGCGACAGCAGCTGGAATCCGCCGGAGCGACGCCGGAGTACAGTAAGAGCCGAACTCGCCTGCCAATGATCGTTGGCCAGGTGTGTTCAACCGGTGAAGGCAGCAGTTAATCACCCCTGTATTGGGCAATTATAGACTGAGACGAGTTCAAGATGGGTTAATTATGCACAAGAAAGTAGTCCTATGTATGGAGAATAAATTCTATATATTAATAATATATAAAATTACAAAAATTAATAAATTTTGAGTTCGTTTTCCAGTTTTAAGATTTTTTTTTTTTATGGTGTTGTTAAGGATTCATTCCGGAGTTGATTAGATTCAACCTTAAGTACTCGCTATTTTTTGATATGTTAAATCTTTGATTCATCGTTAATTTTGAATTCAAACTTAAATGAGAAAAATAATAAATTATTACTTAATTGAAATATAAAATATAAAAAATTAATCATTAAGATTATTGTGTATTGGAATATTCACAATAGTAGAAAGATATAGAGCGTTTAGCATCTTGACTTTCTACGAAGTTCTATGAAATGTTGAATCCACTTTTGATCGGTAATAATACCATGTTGTAATTAAGTCAAGAAATTACATGATAAAAGTTTAATTGGTGTAAGGTTATCCTCATTTTTTTGTTACAGAAATATAAATTTAATCAAAATAATAGATAAATTTACATATTTTTAAAACTTAGATAGGTCAAATGTCACCTAACTCGAACCAAACAACTTTGAAAATTGAGTCTAAAGTAGAAAACATACTAAAGCAAATCAAAACCTCCTTTTTTTCACTAGAATCCCTCTCTACCTCTTTCAAATGTCGACTGCTCAAGAGAAACAATCAGAATGAAAGAGATGATTTGGATATTTTAAATAATAAAAATTGTTATAGCATTTTGGTTCCCCTCTGCACTGGCCACGATGCTACCCTACATGACTCATGGTTCCACCATGCATGCTGCACGCTGAAGCGCATAATTATATTGCCAAAAATCTAAGAGCACTGGTGTCTTGACGCCGTCAAACTTACCACCACAAAGCCCCAAGGGGGGAACTTCAAAAGTTTTATAAATGAAGGCAGACCCCACATGACCTACTTAAGAATATATGTAGGCTCTTATATGCTCCCAAAACATTCTGAGAAACATGTAGAAGGGTTGAAATGCAAAAAATTAATAACTTTTTCTAATGATATTAGGTTAGAATAGGATAAACTGAATATTAAATTTTGTGGTGTTACAACTCTACCCTAATTAGAAAAATATTGGCCAATCCAAATTTAATATGGATTGGGTCTGAGGTGAAGGGTTCTTTCCAAAAAATTGATTTTAAAAATTTACCTATATTTTGTTCTTTTTGCAAGATGCATGGTCATGATACTAATGATTATTTTCGGAAGCACCCCCATCTTCGCAAAAAGGAGTCTTTGAAACAAACAAATGGGCAAGTTGCCAATGTGACTCCTCAGGAAGTTACTAATCCTCATTCTGTGCCTTTAGAGGATAATACCTCTAATCCGTCAAAAATTATTGAGGAGCCATTGCCTTTAGTGGTTGATGAACTCCAACCTATTGTTATTAATACTATTATTTTGAATCATGACCAGGGAGTTGGTGATAAAACTTATTATATTTCTTTTGTTGAATGTGATAATACTGTGGCACAAACTTTTGCTAATGTTGAGTCCATCAGTCTTTGTGTGACTAACAAAAATTTAGTTGATTTGAATAATAATTATCATCCTAACATTATCCCTAATGAACAGGTAAAAGAAAAGGAAGTTAATACAAACATTCAAATGCCTCTTATAGATTATGAGAGGAATAATAACCCATTTGAGGAAGGTGAAATTGTTTTTGTGGGGGTTTGCCCTTCTCTTGGAGAAGGTAAATGTAATATGGAGGATGATGATATGTTTATGGAGGATGAATATCCTCAACAAATTACTAATGTGGATATACATAATATGACTCCTTCAACCTCTTGTTACAATAGTGATGCTTTTACCGATACTGAGGATATGAGCTTTATTGATAAGTGTTTTCCTAAGGATGATAATGATACTAGTTTTGTAAGATTCACAGTAAAAGAGGTAGGAAAAAATAAAAGTTTATATTGCATTCTCTTATAACTACTCGCTCACACACTTCCCATTAATTTTGTTTATTTATGTTTAACTCTATTATTTTGAATGTTAGGGGGATTGGTTGTCCTTCTTTTAGAATTCGTGTAAAAAATTTATATCGTACTCACAATGTTTCTATTCTTGTTTTGCTTAAGCCTCTTATTTCTTCCTCTAGGTTAATTAAAACCTCTCAATTTTTGAATTTTAATTATGCTATTTCGAATATGGCTAACATGATTTGGGTCTTTTGGAAAGATCTAGTTAAAATTGATGTTATTAGTGATTTTACTCAAGTTATGCATTGTTAAATTGAGATTTTTAATTTGCATTGTTGTGCTTCCTTCGTGTACGCTTGTTCTTCCTATTACATTAGAAAATTACTTTGGGACCAACTCATTAATTTTCATAATATTTGTAATTTTCCTTTCTTGCTGGTGGTGATTTTAATACTATTACTAACCCTCTGAAGGAATTGGAGGTTCCTCTCTGTCTTATCAGTCTATGGAGGATTTTAGTAATATGATTTTGGATTGTAATCTCATTGATATTGGTTTTTCTGGTAATCAATTCACTTGGAATAGGGGTCATTTATGGAAACATTTAGATCGTGCTCTTTTTAATGACTCTTGACTTAATTCTTTTAATTACATTAATGTACATATTCTTAGTAGAACTCTGTCTGACCATTCTCATTTTCTTGTTAGTCTTTATTTTATACAATTTGATGCCTCTTCTCAATTCAGATTTCAAAACATGTGTTTACTTCATGATTTTTTTTTGAGGTTGTGGAGCATAATTGGCAAGCTCATCTTTATCCGAATAACTCCTGTTTTGGAATGAGGAGACTTTGGTATAAGCTGAAAAGGCTTAAGCAGGTTTTAAATTGGTGAAATCGTAACATTTTTAGAAATATCTTTTCTAATATTTTGGAGGCTGAGCAACTTATTCAGAGAATTGAATCTACTTGTCAAGTTGATCCTTCTGATGCTAATTTATCTCTTTTAGAAAATGCTAAAGAGGGTCTTTTTAAATTCCAAACTCAGGAAGATATTTTTTGGAAATAAAAAGTTGCTGCTAAGTACTTGGTTGATGGTGATAACAATACTAAGTATTTTCATGCATTGGTCAAGTGGAAATGGGCTAAAAATTGTATTAATAAAATCTAACATGATGATGGTTCTGTTTCTGAGAATATTATAGAAATTGCATATTTAGCTATCATTCACTTTCAAAGTTATCTCAATAAGGATTTTAACCCGGTTCAGATTAGTAATCACTCTTGTATTCCTAATCTTATTATCCAAGAGGATAATGTGAATCTTTTTAAACCTCCTTCTTTTGAGGAGGTTAAATAATCTTTGTTTGGTATGAATAGTGATTCGGTGGCTAATCCTGATGGGTTTACTACTCAATTTTTTTCAAAAACTATGGCATATTATTAATAATGATATTTTTGCTGCTACTATGGATTTTTTTACAAGTTTCTCTATTCCTAAGTTTTTTATGTATACTTCCATTATGCTTATTCCCCAAAATAATTCAGTCAACACTTGGAATGATTTTAGACCTATCAGTCTTTGTACCTTTTTTAATAAGTTAATCTCTAAAATTATCATGAATTATCTTACTTTTCTTTTATCTAGAATTATCTCTACCTCTAAGATTGGTTTTATGAAAGGTAGGATTATTACAGATAATATTTTGTTGGCTCAAGAATCCTGCCATGACTTCGATGTTAGAGTAAGAGGGGGGAATTTTATTTTAAAGCTTGATATTGCCAAGGATTATGACAATATTTACTGGTCCTTTATTTATTATATTTTGGAGTATTTTGGCTTTAATTATATTTTTATTAAGCTTATTAAGAATGGTATTGCAGGTGTTTATTTCTCTATTATTCTGAATGGTTCTACTAATGGTTTCTTTAAATCTTCTCATGGCTTAAGATAAGGGGATCCTATATCTCAAGCTCTTTTTATTATTGCTACTGAATTTTTATCTAGAGGTCTTACCAATCTTTTTAACAATAATCCTAGTTTTTATTTTAGAACTTTGGGTGGTTTTCACATTTCTCATTTATGTTTTGAGAATCACTTTATTGCTTTTAACAATGCTTCTACCAATAAAATTCAAAAACTTATGAGATAGTTAGTCAATTTGAGATAGTTAGTGGTTTATCTTTTAGCAAAAATAAAAGCTATTTTATTGGTTCTAAGAGCATTCCTAATAATTATAGTTTTACCCTTAAAGATTTAACTGGCTTTATCTATGGTCATTACCCATTAAATACCTTGGAGTTCCTCTTTTAAAGGTAGAAGGAAAACCTTTCTTTTTTATGAACTTATTGCATCTATTCAGAATAAAATTTTAACTTGGGATTCTAATTTTCTTAGCTTTTGTGGTAGGATTACTCTTATCAAAAGTGTTTTGTGTTTTCTACCAATTTATAGTTTTCAAACTATTCTTCCCACTAAAGTTATTTGTAATAGGGTACATAAACTTATTAATAAATTTTTTTGGAAAGGTACTTCTATTAATTCCAAAATTGCTTGGGCTACTTATGATAAATGTTCTATTGTTCTGGCTGAAGGGGGTTTAGGTTGTAAAAATATGAATGACCTGGCTATGGCTTTCTCTTTTAAACTTTTGTATAACTTTCGTGCTAAAGCGAGCCTTTGGGCTAATTTTATGTCTTCCAAATACTATGTTGGCAAGCATCGTACTACTTGTTATTTTAAGCAGGGTGATTCTAGAGTGTGACAAAGACTTTGCAAGGTTAAATGGGAGGTTGAGCCCTACATCTCTTGGGGCCTTGGTGAAGGTACTGCTTTCTTTTGGCAAGATTATTGGTTATTCAAACAGTCTATTGATTTTATCATGAATTCATTTTCTATTGCTTCGATTAAGGTTAATTCTTTCTTTAAGAATAATTGCTAGGATTATGAGAAACTTACTAATGTTGTTACTGATTTTATTATTCATCAAATTCTTAACTTGCCTATTAATTCTGATTCTAAGAACATTATCTTATGTGATTTATCTAGTGATGGTGGTTTTCACTTAAAAAAGGCTTGGCATACTTTCAAAGCTCGTAGAAATAGTAATAATATTTTCTCTTTGATTTGGC